CCATGACTCCTCTGTCATTTGTCATGTCTCTCTTTCTGTCTTGCTGTCCCATCATACCCCTCCTCCTCAAAATCTCCATGTCTGTCTCTCGTCCTTTCTTTCCACCTCCTCATCTTTCCATCTCCCTGCCTCCCTTCTTCATTCTCTTGTTCCTCTTGTTTTTCTGTTTCTTGTGTTCGCTTTCAACAGAAGACGAGTCTGGAGCTTCTGCTGTGTATTCAGTAGGCGCACACACACTCGTACACACTAATGGGAAACAGATTGCCAGGCCTGTGAAGTGGAAGAAGATTGATTACCTGTATCTAGTTACTGAACACACACATGCGTGTGCGTGCAACGAGGGTGGCTGAGGGCGCACGCTGGGTCGGTGTATTGAACCATCACAAGGGGAACAAAAATAAACTGTTATGGGCTGCTGTGTCACCCAGTCTGGACCCTGTGTGTGTGTGTGGTGTCTGCCGAATAATGCACCACAGTTCACTGCCATCAGACACCATTATTTCTGGCTGGCCGACTGTCTGCCAAAAAGTGATCTATAGTAGGGATGCCCCAGTCAGGTTTTAGCTTCGATCCTTATCAGAGTCATTTGTTACGGAGTATTTTTCTGTACAGAGTACCAATTTGATTCTTGTATGTTATTTCGAGTATTATCAGGATTGTTTTTCCAATACTGAACAAAATGCCAAATGAATGCTAAAAAAAAGGATTAGTAAAACGTTATCATAGCGTCAACTTTTCCTGCTCATCTTTGCTCAATTTTTCCTTTGAACTCTGACCTTTTGATACTCATTCTCTCTAGACTTAATTCGATGGGTACATTTTGTGAAGTTTGAGGTTGGATTTTCAGACTTTCTCCTGTGCGGCAAGCCTGCCAGCTTTTCTTCACCAAAACCAAATAAAAATAAACAAGTTTAATGTGGCTTTAGTGAGGTTTGGAGGTCCTTTTGAATAGATTTGTATTAGTTTTTTCATAATTTCAGTAGCCTTTAAAACAATTTAGTTCAATATTGAAATCATGTCACCTGTGAGCACAGCTCTCGGTGACTGTGGGGAGGAAGAACTTGTGTTACCAGTGTAATGCAGCTTTTTGGGTCCCGGTATGTCACACTTTACTATTGCGCTATTGTCTTTTGTCCATGTCGCCACTTATGTAGATCAGGGCACCGTTTTCTTTCTCTGCATACGAAATGACCTCAGCTCATTGTATCACATTTGTGCAGCAAGGAAAAGGGAACATGTTAGGAGGGATGCGTTGCACCCAACGCTGGTCACAATCAAGGTGCTGCATCAAAAACCTCCTTATGTTCGCTGTGGTCAGCTGTAGTTTAAGTGGATGATGCTAGTTTGACTGCAAATACTCGCTAACTGCTACCTGAGCAGCAGTAAAACTTGGAAAAAGTGGGAAACTGGGATCGGTGGCTGTTGGTCTTTGGAGAAAAAAAGTTGTGCCTTAGAGTCGCAGCCAACACTTTTCAAAGGAGACAGCCTTTACTTTGAAGGGAAATGGTTTCAGTTTCCAGTTTGCCACATGCTTTTCAAGTGTTACCACAGCTCGGCGAGTAGCTTATGAGTGTTTGCAGATAAGATGCCTTGTTCCACGCAAACCAAGCAAGCTGCCACACTTGCCCATGGTAAAACAGTCACAAGGAGGTTTTTGTCATCCGATTGGGGGATGCAGATTCTCCCCTAGCACTGGGGTCACTGAGCAATCTGTTTCCAATCAACCTCCAGCTACCACTCTCCAGGCGGTTGGGGAGTGAATATTTTTAGTGGTTGCCAGATTGTTGCAGACTGGTCTCTAGTAACTGGGGCCTTGTTCACTTGACTCTACACTCAGAGACATCGACTCACCTCAGCCACATATTTAAGTCAGGACTGCCCTCCTATCGTTTCCACAGAGTAATTTCCGATCATTTAAAAAGTATTTAAAGTGATTTTACTTTAAACCATTATAGTGTGGCTGATTCCAAATGCCGTGCTGCCTTCCTTTTGTACAGTTTTTATTTTTTTCTCACTCCATCATGTATTCCAAACCTGTCTTCCTCCTCACCACCTTTCCCATTTCTCTTTCCTTTTCTTCCCAACTCCTACTGTTCGTTTTCCGTCTGCTCCACTCCCCATGCCTCCCATGTTTCCCTCCTGTAACTGCGTCCCAGTTTCTCATGGCTTTTTTGCGCCGCAGATGACGCACATTCCCACACTTCTACTTCAAGCGCTGTACCGAATTCTGTCCCCAAAGAAAAAAACACAACAAAAGACGGGGCTAAAAAGGCTTCCCGGTTAAGAGTGAATGGTCGGGTGAGTGTGTATACAGTAATGTTAGCGGGCATGGATGCACCTGCTGAAGAATTCCGGAGCCCAACTCGACCGCCGCGCCGAGTTACTTTGACGCAGGTGCTGACGTCGCTGAAATCCTCTTCTCTTTTCTCCGCCATTCACAGGTTGCTGTCTTTTGTGGTCGAGCTATGTTAAGTTGTACATTTCTGAGTATTTGAACAATTACAAAGAAATGACTCGCAGACGCGACAGGACTCTTCACTCTGCGGTTCTCGCCATCTTGAGTTTCTCATCCTGTTGTTCTTTCAGCATTTTGATTTAATTCGATGTAAAGTAATTAGAGAAAACACTCAGAGCTCGGCACATTCCTCAGCGTTAGGCCTAAGCTCCTCCTGCAGCCCAACGACACTTTCCTGATTTAGTTTGTTCTTATTGTCCTCCATGACTCACTTGTCTTCTGTGGGTGTGTGTGTGCGTGTTTGTTTGTGTTTGGACATTAGATCAAAGATGGCATTGTGTTCATACACAAGCATCTCCGATATTGTGCTCTTCTGGGTTTGTGCCTATCTGCCCTCGTGTCCGGAACAGTTTTTCTCATTAACCTCGCATTAACAGCCCAAAACGAAGCATTTTGATGTGTATGACGTCTTTATTGACGTTCCATTCGACACATTTAAGCGCACAAAGCAGCCTACGTGTTGGCGCCAGTGATCAAGGAAGGCGTTTGCATAGGTTTTTCAAAAGTAGCCCGATGCGGATTTGGGTGTGGATGGAAAGGCATGCTGACCTCATTTCTGAGGGTTTTCCCACAGAAAAATGTTGGCGACCATACTGCGCCCGAGGCCCGACTGGAGGAGGATTTCGAAGAAAGGTGAATGGTGGTCATGTTAAAGAGTTCAAAATGCACATCAGGTAGAGATAAATGACTAAAGACTTCAGATCAGTTTTATTTGTATGTAGAAGTGCAAGATGATGATCTCCTACCAGCGAGGTCCTGACAAAGACTTGGCCACCTCTGGAGTGACCGCGGCTCTGTTTTCACTCTGTTATGGAGACCAGCTTCCATTAATTTCTAACTAAAACTTCCTGTTTTTTAGTATTTTTATTTTTAGAGCTCATCATCGAGCACTGCCGCACAGGGAGATGAATGTGTCACTTCCCACAGTAATCCCCGAACAGCGATGTAGACGCAGGACACAATTAGCATCAGAAATTACATTACACATGGCATTGTTTGGTAGGGGAATCTTTCCAGGTAGACCTTTCCATTTCCTGCTCTGCTTTACCCCACCTTCTTTTAAATGACCACGTTTTTGAGAAACTGAAATGACAGGATGAGTTGGACATTAACCAAATGCAGCTGTATATGCTGCACACGTGTGTGTGTTTGTGTTGCACTGACAAAAGAAGTGATGTGACCCTCACAGGACATTTTATTAGGTATAGTTTTTGAGTTGCCTTAATTCTTCGTGGCAGAGGTTCAAGGAGATGCTGGAAAGATTCCACGGAGATTTTGGTCCATACAGACGTGATAGCGTCATGCTGCACATCCTTAATGTGAATCTCCTGTTCCACCACATTGCAAAGGTTCGCTGTTGAAGTGAGATCTGGTGACTGCAGAGCCATGTTGAATAGAGTGAACTCATTGTAATGTATTAGGTTGTCCTGAGAGCTTATTTGAGTTACTTTTGTGTTCCTGTCAGCGCAAAACAATCTGGCCATTCTCTTCCTGTATCAACAAAGCATTTTTGCCGAGAGATCTGCCGACCACTGGGTATTTTCTATATCAGTTTTGTATCCCTTATTACCTGTAACAAGGAGGTTGGTTTTTTTGGTGTTTTGTGCATGTATTTAAAGAGAACAAAGAAAATAAAATGAATTCATGCAAAATGAAATACTATTTCATTAGAAGTAAATACCGCTCAGAGAATGAGCCCTTCCTGTTTTATTTTTCGGACAGTTTTTGTCCTCCAAATTTTTTATTTTTTTTTGGTAAGCTTGAGTTTAAGGAACAGCTGAATCGAAGGCATTGTCGAGCAAAAGCACAGGTCAGACATGTAATCTGTCCCTGTCTGCACTTTTATGTCTCGAGCACTAATTTTACGTGCTTTGTTTTCATCGACTCCTCATCCTTCCTGTCCTTCCCTTCCTGGCCTGCTATTTTCCCTCCTGTGTATTCTTAGGCTGCTTTGGTAAATCACTTTTATTGGCCATTTCCAATGGGACGAGGAGTGGCTCAAAAGGTCTAAACCGGTGACCTCGCAACACCGTCCACAATTTCTGACATTTTTCCCGAAATGTTCCTAAAACGAGGGGGGTACTGTGAGCAATAACCCGAGCATTTATTGCTCACATGCTGAGTTGGATTAATACCATTTCCCCGTTAGTGTCTGAAAGCAGTTTGTGTTTTTTGAATTTTTCCTGGGTTTGTTTTCTGCTCCGTCCCCTATAAAAGTTGTTGCACGTGAGGAGTCTTATTGCAGACAGAGTGTGAGTGTTATCAGACAACATCTGGTTTTGGTGTCAGAGCGTGAAAATCAAAGAGCTTCCATTGTTTTGCTCTGAAGTTGCGCCAGCACCTAAATGCAAATTCTCGTCTGTCGGACTTAAAAGAGATTCTGGGAAATGTAGGAAGTAACTGAAATGAACCAAACAATGCAGGTTTAAAATAATCCGTTGACCCTCGGTGGAGTTCTCATCTGCTTTTCTGTTTTGTTCTCCAGGCCCAGCTGCAGCGCTCACTGGACAGCTCCGTCTCGCCTCAGCCGAGGGTCCTACTCGGCCGGCATGGCAGAAAGGCGGCGCCGGCGGCGATTCGGGCTGGAATGGGTGTCAACCCGCTGTCAGAACAAGACACGGGAATTCTGGATGTGGAGGATGAAGAGGAGGAAGATGAAGTGAGAAAACTGCAAACACACACACAAAATCCAGACAACACGCAGCCTCCAATTATCTGGCTTCACCTTATTTGATGAAACAAACATCTCTATACTGATACGTTTGTACATCCAGTGCATCCCATTCATCTCAGATTGGTCCTTGGCAGAATCGTCTCTGATCTCGCCCCCATGGCGGGGTACATGAGTCGCCAGGGCAGCTCAGACTTGTTTCCAAGCGAGCTGACATTCATTTTTATAACCCCTTAAACAGTCAGATAATTGTTGCCAATCCTGACCGTGGGTTTCCCCTAAGATTGGCAGGCTGGACCAATTTCGTTTGAAGTCTGATGATCCTTCAGTGTGGCTCAGTTTTACTTGCTTCCTGCTGCGTTTTCTTTGTTGTTAGTCAGTTTTTAGTCTTTCTGTCCTTTCATCTCTTCCATGTGTCCTCTTCTTGCCCAAGGCTTATGCCGCTTTTTCTACGTGACTCTTTCTCTCTCTCTTTTTTTTTTTGTCGTCTTCTTTTTCTTTCCATTCATTTCCTTTTCCTTCCACATTGACTGCGAATGTTTCTTCAGTCCCAGTAGTCTGAAGTCATTAGGTCCGGCCCAGGTGACATTTCTGATGTTTCCGGAGAGCGAACATTCATCCCACTGCAGCACGTAGCCCACGTAAACCAGCTTATACTGGGCGCACGCTCAAATACAACTACTGCTCGAAACATTGTACCAAAGTATTCAACATATTCAAAAGACTGTTCCCATGGGCTGGAGCAGATTCTAGTCTTTGAAAGGGAAAGGAGCGCAAATCAAACAGCTGAGGGTAAAAACAATTTATAAAAAAAAAACTTGCTGAAAGATCATAAAGTAATGACTGGGCTCTCTGCCAGTGGGCAAACCAACAAATAAATAATAAGAGCCAACATTTACTGTGAAAATGCAGCTGGATGTTTCGTGGTCCGCTTGTTAAGTCTAATGCCTTTAGAGATTTCTGAATCCAAATGCTTCTTTAGATCCTAAAGGCAAACAAACACAGAGGGATCACTGAGAGGTAAAATAGTTCAAATTCTTTGATTTCCAATAAGATGATCAGTGTGGTGCTTCTCTCAGGTTTTGCAATTACGTGTAACTTGTGGGCATATTTACAAGGCTGAGGAGAGCCGCTGCATGGTTGTTGTGATCTTAAGGTTAATGTCGACACTGAAGTCTTGTTTGGCCTGAGAGTGATTGTTTTCTGGAGTGTTCTGATATTTAGAATCTGTGTTGCGCTGTGTGTACAAAAGTAATTTTCGTAAGCTTAAAGACTTTCTACACCTCAGCACAGTGAAACTTTAATGTCCTCATGGCAGCTTGTTTTGTAGAAGTCCAACATAATAAATACACACAGACAGTGTTGTGCAAAGGTCTTCGGCCATGCCTCATTTCTTCTTATGTTCTTAGGATCCAGAGATGCTTGGAAGTTATTAAAGTCTTGAGAAATAATTCTGCAGTTCTTTGGACTTTGGCCTTTAACTTTTTTCAGTCGTTTTCAGTCCAGTCTTTGTACCTGACAACTTTCAGAGGAATGTGCTTTTTGTTTGTTGAACCACAAATGACAACTTAAGAAAATTCAATTTTAAATTTCGGCACTTTGTTCCTAGAAGCCTGTTGTAAAAACAAATCAGTTGGTTCCATTTTTTTTTTAGTTGAATCTACAAAAATGCCAAAGATAACAGTCTGACAGGCACACCAAGGTGATTCCCAAAGAGCAATTAGCTAAAAACTTGGCATATGTCAACATGGCATGCAGTGTGTCCTAAAACAATGTAAGGAAACTGGACAAACGAAGGAGCAAAGAAATATTCGTACTCAGAAATGTCTTCAGCAGATGAACAGTATCTGGAAGTCATGTCCTTAAGAAACAGAAAAAAATCCAGCAAAGACCCGACACAGGACCTGAGGGATCCATCTGGCCCTTCGTTGATCCGTCTGCTGGTCCCTGAAACCTCATCAGGAATGGTCTCAGCGGAAGGATGGCTGTCGAGAAGAATTGTTAAGGAAGTGGAACAGGGAAAAAAGACTGAGGTTTGCCAGATTGCATAAGAACTGGACTGAAAATCAAGGACAACATGTCTTATTGATGAATTCAAATTTGAAGTTTTAGGTTCAAATCCCTGTTAGTATATTTGAATGAGATCAAAGTTGCAACAGTGAGAATCTACAGCGATCTGATCTGTAAAACACGGCGGAAGTGCTGTCATGGTTTTGTTCTATCCACTGTTTAAAGAGCAACAGTGGATAGAACAAATGAATATCTGAATCTGTTAGTCCTACATTTAGGAAAACCAAATCTTCTCCTTGATGGAAGCATCTGGAATTCTGGAGCGTAAAAGACGAAGAGGGTCCAAATGATGGAGGGTGATCATGCAAAGGTCTTCGCTTCATACAGTTCCTGAAGCTCATTAAAGGTGGAGCCAGTGCTGTTACAGCATACCCTGATACAGGACTAGTGCCACCAAAGAGCTGTTTTGTGTGGGTGTATGTGTGTGTGTGCGTGGTTTTTCCTTTTTTTTCTCTTTTGTGTGTGTTTTTTTGTGTGTGCGGGTGTTCGTGTCTGTTTAGATAACAGGTGACACCGCTGCACCTTTTGAAAAGGCGAGAGCCTCGGTAACAATTTAGTTGTTACATGATATTTAAAAAGAAGATAAAAAAAGCCTGTTTAGAAAAACAAAGTTAAAAAGGAGTACATCAGCTGAAGGCTTCTTAAATCTGTTGAGGGAATAAGAATAAAGCTTCTAATAAACTCCTGCTAACTGCTGAAGCGCCTGTAAACAAAAGCTCTGGACAGGCGGCCGAGGAAGGAACGAATGGTGGAACGCTGTCAGTGAACATCTGTGACTGTGTCGCCAATATTAAACCTGCTCTAACTAAACGCTGACAGCTGGCAGTGACTCCTTTAAGAATTAAGAATAGTCTATACACACACACACACACACACACACACACACACACACACACACACACACACACTCATCATGACTTTATCACCTGAATGTAAACTGTGACCGAGCCCAGCTGGAGCAGACCCGGTCCGACCGGTCAGTCAGTGCGCCCAGATTGCATCTGTAATTGGCCCGACAGTCATTAAGTGTGTGTCCAGCTTCAGACACTCGAAACAGTCTCCTCATAGGCGCGTGTCTCGCCACTTGGCAGCCATCTTGGCAACATCTCCAGGCACTTATTTCAGGTTAACAAGAACAGGCAACCTATTTATGTGAAGAGGAAGCGAAATATAACTGCATTTTTGAATAGAAGCAGCAGTCAGATCTGATTTTTAAAAAACAAACAAAAAACCCCCCAAACCTTTAAAAGTTAGATGACTTTGCCCTAAAATAAGGTCTGAAAAGCTTTTTTATGTTTCTGCCACACGTACACAGTTTCATAACATCGCAGCTCCATAACAGGCTAGATCATGTCTCCAGCTTATCCTCCCAGCCGAGCACGGAACAAATGACATGTTAATTCACAGTGAGGGCCCTCCTTATGAAATTAGGCAAATCTGAAAAGGTTCCCATCTGGCTGCCTCAGAATCACCTGATTGTCGTGTATAACAGCTTAAGTGCATTTAAGTGCATTTAGTGAAGCCGTGCAGTATATTACTGTCAGACTGTGAAATTGTTCCGTGCTCCAAATTAGATAGGGTTGGATTGAAATACGACTCTTTTACTTCTATATTTTTTCCTGCAGAAATGACAGCCATATGAAAAGTACAAAACAAAATTGGGTGGGACTCACTGACTGGAGATTTGTGCTTCAGGGGGAAATCTATGTTGTAGCCACACCATGATCTGACATGCATCGCCCTAGAAATGTAACTGCACATCAGGTCGATGCAGCCCGCCACTATTCAGTACCATTGATTACAGCTGTGCTTTTCCATCTACGTTTTTAACACAGTTTTTTGAAATAATCTTTGATAGAACAACAACTACCATCTACCACCTACCATAAGGAACCATAGCATCAATGTAAGGACTCACAGCAAATTCTTGGTGGGCGATTTCTGAAACTACTAAAATGTACAACGAAGTGGAAAAATGTCAGCAACAAATATGTTTGCCGCTGGAAAAAAATATGAACACAACAAAGAAGGAAGGAGGAAAAATCGTCTCAGCATTCCATTTTTTTTCTGTCGGCTGGGACATGTAAAGGTGTGTGGGGTTTTTCTTAGCCTGTGGGGAACTCCAGGCCGGTGTCCTGAAGGTTTTAAATGTGTCCTTGATCCAACACAGCTGATTTAAATCGCTAAATGACCTCCTCAACATGTCTTGAAGTTCTCCAGAGGCTGGTAATGAACCAATCATGTGATTCAGGTGTGTTGACCCAGGGTGAGATCTAAAACCTGCGTGGCAGGCCCTGGAGTTCCCCACTCCTGGTTTAAACTAAACTCTGGTTCGTTTTCCCCCTTGGTGCAGTTTACTTGTGCCAATTTGAATCTTACTCTGAAACAACCACACTGAGTCTGTGGGGGGAAAAAAGAAAGAAAAAAGGTCTGTACAGGCTAGCGGCTAGCTGTGAAATTCATGTTCTCCAAACGTCCAGAACACAGCACCATCTGAATGTATTCACTTTTATTAGTCAGGTCCAGGCACATCTGGACAGTAAGCTGACTGAGCATTCCCACGTTGTTTTCAGTGACGCATTTTCGTTCGCTTAAGGTTCACTTTGGTTTTTCTGTGTGTGAAAAGAAAAGAAAGCCAGTGACAGGCTACAAGTTTACAAACCCATCAACTGATTCAGATCGGAGTAAATGAGCTGTGAAGGTGTGAAGATGCCCTTATAGGAATGGTGGGAACACACCTGCTGACTTCCTCATGCTGTCCACATATCGTACAACAAAAGAACTGCCGGCACACAGTTAAGTTTAGAGAAAAATGTTCAAATACTATGAACTTGTGGAAATCGTGTCAGGGCAGCAAAGCGGGCACAAAGCATTTTGACACTGAACTCTTCAAGTCATCCCTCGCGGGATCGGAGTTCCTTTTCGGAGCCTTTTGTTGTTCTTGCTCGGGGAAAATAAAGTACAATGAGGTTAAGGAGAGAATAGAGCTGAACTTGTCACCCCTGTGCTGCCATTCTGTTTTAAGGTCCCTGTCGTCCCCTTGGCTTTATTTATGTCCTGTAAACTTGACTCAACCTTCTTCACAGGAAGACCTTGGCTCGAACAAAGACCTGACCCCGTGGCCGTCAGGGTTACGACCGCGTTGGCGCCGCTGGCTGCAGCGATGCCAACCATCAGCGTCACGTCTCCTCACGCCAACCCTGCCTCTCCATCACTTCTTCTACTTCCCTTCATTTACAACCATCCCCCATGTTTGTTTCTCACTCCTTTTACCTTATCTTCTAATTCTTGTTTCTTTTGGCTTGTTTCTCACCTTTTATGTTTTTCATCTGCTTCCTCTGGTTCCGTTCATCCTTTTTCTTTCCACCTCTGCCTTTTGAGTCATTTTCGCTTGTCTTTAAGTTTTACCTGCCTGTGTTTATATTCCCCCCCTCTAATTCTCAGCTCTTCCTCTGTCTTTAAGTGGTACAACTCTTTGGTTTTGTTTTTTGTTCTTGTTCTTATTGTTTTGGGACCCTTGTTTGTGTGCGGTTACATCAAAGCTGGCATTGTGCTTTGCCTCTAGTGAGTTTTACAGAAGGCAAACTTTCCAGAGGGCAAAAGGGCAGGGGACAGAGGATGTGGGCAGGGAGGAGGGACTGGAATGATGGTTAGATCGAGGGATAGATGCTAAGAAAAAGAGGTATGAGTAACTCGTAACAGAAGACTCCCTGAAAGCTTCAGTTCACTTCAGATGGCAGTGACATATGAGAAGTTTGAATTGAGTGTTGATCTGTTTCTGCCAGTATTTATACCCATACTTTGTCTCAGTTCTGTTAATTAAACCTAACCTGCATGATGTTAAAAGCATCCTAACCAACACAAATAGAATAATTCAATGATTGTCAGTGAGTAGTAAATGGACCGGTTCTTATTTGGCACTTTTCTGCCTGAAAGTAGAACAAAATGGCTCCTTCACACTCTGATGAATGCATTGGAAGAAACTCTGGGTTCAGTATCTTGCCCAAGGATGCTTTGGCATGCAGACTGTAGCAGCCAAGGATCGAACCACCAACCTGCCTATGACCTGCACCATCTCCTCAGTCACAGCCACTCCATGATAGTTAAAACCTCAGTATCCAGTGCCACTAACACTAGAAACGCCAAACGGGTTGCTTTAAAAATCATCCGACTTTGGTAAATTGAAACTGTCTCAATTCATATTTCATGGCCTTTTCCTAAAATGGGCTTATTCATTATTAGTCTTTTGTTATGAAGGCTGATATAAGATGAACCAGAGCTAGCTAGTTGTGATGAATATGTAGGGGACTGTAGTTTAATAAAGATGAATAAAAACTGCAGGTGGCAGCAGGGGGAAGCGCAGCTGAACAAAGTCCGGAGTTTAGAGAACTTCAAGCAAATGGAGCAGCAAGCTCTGAGATCAGTTTTAAACTTATGGCTGTGAATTATTCAGTCTGTTTCACAGGAAGTGTCTGTTTTGTTTTGTTTGTTTTAAATATAAATATCCTTGTTTAAGCACAACTGATACCACCTTGAATCTTTCCGTAATGTTCCTCCACATTAAGTTATTTCAATGAGTAACTGTACTGTTTGTTTTACCCTTTGTGCAGGTAAAATGTCTTAGAAAATATAATGAAATTATAATTTATAAAAACCCCTAAAACTTATATTCTAAATTTGTCTAATCTTACAGTGAGGAAAAGCATTAGATACTGTGTCTGTTAAAGCAAAGTTGCAGCCTCCAGGGCTGGAAAGTTGAGACAATCCAAAACCTGCAGTTCCTCTAGTGGCCACTTGAGGCCAGCTCCCGAAAATCATCTCCACTGACTCCTTTGTTAGAGTTAACAGCTTTATAGCAGAAGTAAACGTGTTTGCAGCCTGGTAACCACTTCATTTTTTTGCTCTGCCATTTAAGTTTATTGAGGTTGGAGGCTGTTCATTATTAGGGACGCAGCCTGTTTTATTCTTGCCGTTCACATTTCCCTCGTCTGTTTCACAAACACAATCATTTCTCTGTCTTACCCCTCGTTGCCATCTTTGTCTCTCGCTGGTTAGAATCTCAGGTTTGGTTTTACTTTGCTTGGCTTTAACCAAAACAGGTGTTGCCAAAACTTGTAAAAGAAAACTGAAGACGGGCTGGTTGATTGCAGTTTATGAACTGAACATGTGAACTGTGCAAATTGTTTCCCCCTGCAGGTCCCAGGAGCTCAGGACTTGGTGGATTTCTCTCCAGTTTACCGCTGTCTGCATATCTACACTGTGCTGGTGAGTTCATTTTCTCATTTTCTGTTTTATTTCTTCTGTGCTCTTTTTTTTCTTCTTTTTTCTGAAATCAAAGATGCAGAGCTGTTTCTTTCCTCCATCCATGAGCGCTTCAGTTTTCCAGCTTAAGTGAAGCCGCAACTCCTTTCTGATCAGCTCGTAAAGGTGTATCTGCCTGTATTTCCTGTGCATGTGATTGACTGAAGTAACAATGTTGTTTGTTGCATCCTTTGTACTGACTTTGTTCTGCCTACATCACGGCTGGGTGATTTATGGTATTAGCTTTATGAAAACAAGATGCTTTGCTGCTCTGCTTTGGTTACAAAGTTCACTCCTTTCCTTTGGAGCGCTGGGCTCACGTTGTTCCCTAAAAGCTTAAATCTACTAGCTGTTTAGTTCAGCTCGAGCTGAGATGACTAAAAGGAAGCTTTTGGTCCACAGCGTCCACATAAAGGAGGTCAAACCTACACAGGTTCTGCAGATGAAGCTCGAGAAGGATTATTAACAGCTGCCTTTGACTCCAGAGTACCAGTGCCATGTGACAGTCAGCTTTGACTCTGTCACCAGAGGCAGACCAGCAGTGCTTGGCCTCACGAGATCGGGGCTGAATTTTCTCCTTTTTTTCCTACCCTGTGTCCAGCTCATCATATTGTGCAAAGTATTAAACCTACTTTCATTTCTTTATATTTTACACCACTGACTGAAGCATAGCTCCAAAACACGATAGAGCCTCCAAATATCATGTTTGGCTCATTTATTTCTCATATTCATGAGATGTGATTGTTGACATCGTTCAGCCCTGCTCAGTGGTTTGCAGCAGCATCCTCTTCATCGCCTACAACAGCCAGCGATAATGAGGAGGCCCGCTTCTTTTGCTTAAATGTCAGAATCTGCTTGTGCCCAGCTCTGAGGGTGACCTGGCACAGAGGGGGTAAACGACTTCGGTACGACGGGGCCTCCAGCTCGAGCCTGGCTTCGCTCCAACCAGACTGCAGAGAGAACTCGCGTGTCTCGTCTCACTTAGAGTGAAAGTGACATGGGTGGAGGTGCCACGAATGGGTTAGCTGTGCATTAGGGTTCTGTGTGAGTGTGCGTTTGTTTGCATTTGTGAGTTTGTAGGACTTTGTAGGGGACGTTATCAGACCAGCACAGCCAGAGGGTCGGGGTATGACAGGGGGACAGGAAGTGCATGACAGGAAGGAGAAAGTGAACGGGCAAAAGAGTGAGGGAGGGAGTAGAAAAGCAAGGCTGAGGTTAAAGAAAGGTTAAACAGGGCACGATGGTGGAGGAGAAACAAAGAGAGAGAGGTTACAGAAGGTTTAGACAGGTGACGATGTGGGTGAAGAAAGTATAAACACACAAACACTTTATTTTCTGGCTTTAAATGTTTGTGTGAAGCTGAACGGTTTCCCTCATTTAACTTAAAACACTGCATGTCCCCTTAAAGAAAAGATTACAGTTCTAAAAACTTGGTTTTTTAGGGCCCTTTTAAGGAAAAACCTGCAGCAGAAGGAAAGAAGGAAAGGCCATGAAAAAATTTATAAAATATATAATGTAGCACAATAGCGAAGCCAAGTGGACTGCTGCAGGTTTTTTTTACTCTACATACATTTTTAAAATGTATATGTATACAGACTGGTTCGTGTATTTTGAGCTGGATAGGTCCATAAATCTGTCATTATTTTTTGTTGCAGGGCTGTATAAACATAATTAGCAATTTTTTTTTTTTTTTTTTTTTCGATCGTCACGTTAAATCACATCACCCATCAGTGGCTGCCCGAGCCACTGTGTAGGACAGATTTGTGTGTTTTGGCCCTGGTGTGTATATGACAAGGTTAGGAAAAGTGTATTTGCATGAAGTGCTGTACTACAGATCTACAGTTTCTGTAATGATGTAACCACATGTGGAAAAAATATGAATAACTGTGTATAAAGTAAAAATGAAAGATATCAGTGACCCTGTGAAGAATGAGCTAGGTGTAAGAACCACTCATGTATGGCACCGAGCTGAGCTTTCCAAGTGGTGGTGGGGGTGGATTAAGAGATTAAGATTAAATAGCTGGGGTCAGCCATGCAAATCAAGGAACAGTCCACAAGAGAGATGAAGAAGAGAGTGCTGGCAGGGTGGAATGGGTAGAGAAGAGTGTAAGGGGTGATTTGCTGCTATTTTTTACAGGATGGTATCATCGTTCCTGCTGTGATGTATGATTTGGAGACTGTGGCACAGATGAGAGGTCAAGATGCCAAGATCTTCACTCCGAGTGAACAGAATGAACAAGACATGAGTACAACTGAACTGAACTTGATGGATTTGGAGACGGAGTTAGAGAGGCAGAAGGATGATGTATATATTGGAAGATGGAGAAAATACAGCACATGTAGGAAGTATAGGTAAATAAAGTTTCAAAAAATACAACAAAATAAATAATGGTAGAATAGTACAATAAAGTGGATCTGTGGCATAAATAGCTCAATAAATTCCCCAAACCAAAATAAAAATACTGCTTCTAGAGGGAGTGGTCAGCATCTGATTGGTTGAATCAAGTAACAGGTGAGGTGTTATTGGTCCGTGGGGAGGGAGGAGAACTACCATATGGTGATCTTTCTCATCTTACTGACCCCTTAAAGCTGAACTGAACCCTTAATGATGTGGAAGAGGCAATCAGAGAGCGGGGGTCACAGGAAGGGAAGAAGGGAGCATTGAGATGTGGAGGCTAAGCAGGAGGAGTGAAAAGTGGAAGGAAATAAGAATTTTCCACAAATCTCAGTCATTAGAGCCTCAGCAGCACTTGAACCAGCCCTGCTGTATGTTGCTGAGGCCTCAATCAGCTGATTGGAGATAAGCTGTTGCAGAGGGAGGTCACGGGGAGGTTAAAAGGGCAAAAACAGGAAGACGAGGGTGAAAATGCAGCGAGACAAGAGAGGGGAGGATGGATGAGAGAGGAGGAATGAAGCACTCGAGATGAAGGAGAAAGGGGGGAGGAAAGGAGCACGCTGCTGCTCGGGAAGGTGTTGAAAGGATTGACCCCTGAACCTTTGGGGTCACACACTCTTAGTCATTTATGTTCCCCCTCCTTCTCCTCCTGCTGCTGCTGCCGCCATTTGAGATTTTGTTTGCGTTTCTATTAAAATGCAGAAAGGACACAAGATTAAACGGACACACTCGAACTGTTTTGTGTGTTAAAATAAGCTGTGCTGCGGCGCTTTGAATGACAAGCTGTCGGGTGGAGATGTGGATTCAATATCAGAAAATAAAACCACACACACACACACACACACACACACACACACACACAGTCTGATTGTTAAATGTTTGAGAATGTCTTGTACTTCCACAGGCACACGCTTGTAGCACTTTCATTTATTTTTGTAGCAAACCTGGACGTAGAATCCCATTTGCAATCAAGACCAGCCCCCCCCCCCACTCTTCTCCCCGCTTTCCCTTTTCCACCTTTAAGGCCCACAATTTTCCACCCGCTGTGGAGCAGCGGCGAGCCCGAACAATACTCCTTTGTTACACTCGCACACGTACCGCACGTTGACAAATGTGGGCAGAGCTGCGATGGATGTAAACACGGGCCTAAAGCCCAGCGTGTCGGGCAGAGACGAGGGGAAGGAGAGGCGAGGTGAGCGGCGGTAGCAGCCAGTCCATCAAACCGGTCAGACTGGGAACTCTGAGCTACAGCACGACAGCTGGAACAAAGCAGCTGCTCTAACAGATCCTTGAGTCTTTAAAAAAAAAATTTTTTTTTAGAGAGCATTAACATATACAGGCAATTCGTCTAGTAGGTCTTTTATTTTGAAAGTTCCCTTGCTTCTAACCAACTACTTCTGCTCCTTCTCAGCTTGTTTTTCTTAAATAAAGTAAAAATAGTCGAGCATCCCTTTTGCAACTAGGAAAAACATGTAGCTGCTTGGAGATTGAAGCATTTTTTTCTGGACTTTTTAGCCTTTATTTTGACAGGACAGTTCTGAGTTGACAGGAAAGCTGTTGCACGCATCAAAACATCCAGGCCTCTGCAATAGCCTCACAGCATTTGGGTCACATGCTCAGCCCTACTACCTACGCTGGTGCCACCAGATAGTTGTGGAGGTTGAGCATGCAACGCCTTCAACCTCTGAGCGCCGATTGGCAATCACACAGGTCACACGGTGGAAGTTAACCTCTCTCCAACAATTGCGGTCCGACTCGGTCACTCTCACAGATTGCTGAAGCTTCATTACCTTCTTTCTTACCCCTCCGGTTTGGAAAAACCTGCCAGAGATGTAAAGTTGCAAAATCGTTCTTCTTTACCTTTCTTAAAGGGAGACAGGGGCGTAGAGGGCAATGTGTGATAAGAGCTATACATTTGCTAAATGCCTTTTTTTTTTTTTTTTTTTTTTTTTTTTGTATTGAATACGATATAAAACTAGTGACTGAGACTAGAAATCAAACAGTGTTTTCAAAGACTTAAAAAGAAATGAAAAGTCTATTTCATGTAAACACTCTTATTGTTGGATGCTTATAATAAACATGGGCTGAAGTTTCAAATAAAGGGGTCAGGTGATGGGATGTTGGGCTACAGTGGAGGAAAATGTCTATAAAGAGATCAAAAAGGTGAAAAAAGACTGACTTCTTGACCTTTAGCAAGCAGATGTGTTTACTTCAGTAAAGGTGGAACACTTATGCTCAGTCACGCTCACTCCAGTGTAGTCGTTTATTTATGAGGGGAACCTGCTTGTTATACTGTTTTGTTGTAATTACACTGCTGATTGGCGGATGTGCATATAAAACAAAGATTCACATAATGAAGTTGGTGTGTGAACAGGTACATTCTCAGTATGGTCATCTCAGACAGTATGGCAGCGCAGGAGTAGACAAGCCCCACCCACCAGTTCCTCACACCCTCTGTTTGTGTGGGGCAGCCAATCAGAAGAAAGCTGGTGCCATGAACATAAATAGTCTGTGAGCAGTTACTAGAAACATTTCTGTCTTTGTTAGCAGGTTTTTGTCGGGTTCATGTTGTTGTAATTTATTCACGTCTGATCCTCGTGCTGTCTGATCCGTTCTTTCTTTGATTCTCTGCTGGCTCCGCCTGCTGGTGTTCTTCTCTCTTTCAGCTCCTCTCTGTTTCGTTTATCTCTCCTCACCTTCTCTGGTGATGTTATATTGTCGCACAAACACTCGTGCTGATCTCAGCCCGTGTTTCTCACCCCGTGCTCGCGCTCTCTCAGGGACAGCGAGCGCTGTATAATGCAGAGTTCACAGCGGTTTGATGCCTCTCATTTGTTGAATACACATTGTTCCACTGAGGGTCAAACTGGGAATTAAAAAACACAGTTTTGTCACCTCCAAACAAGCTCAACCTAGTTCTGACACACTACCAGGGAGAGCTGTATTTCTACCATTCACCACATTGTTTTGTTGGTATCTTTGTTTTCAAAGGGCACGGTTTAATCAAGGGAAAGACTAAAGAGTGTAGCTGAGCATGATGCCAAAATCCACTCGATTTTTCACATACAGCACTTTAGATCTTAATTTTTTTTAACAAATACTTTTTTGTTGATGTTCTTTTTTCTTTATTTAAGTTTTGAAAAGGAGCGCGGACAGATAAAGCATGAAGGACAAGGTTGTTTGCAAACCTTAGAAATACAAAGGAAAGGAAACTGTCCTTTATGGCTGACACTAGAGTCAAAATATGACGCCCATCGTATTATATTCATATTCATATTATATTATTCATATATTCATATTTGGCGACTGATCGCAGGTAATTGTGGCGATCATTTTAATTGCTACTTTTAAGGCAGTGGCACATCCAATCAGAAACTAACAGCAGACTGACTCTTGTCGCCATTTCATTGCCGTCATGATGCACTGAAATCGGATTGAAGGTGGCAGTTGTTGCAGCTGTTTCAAAGATGATGAGATCACAACTAATGTGGCTGCAGCATTAGAGAATTGGTTAAAGTATAACGTTGGAAGCTAATCATGGTATTGATTATTAAATTCCAATCTCTTTAAATAACTGAGGCAATGGACTGCAGGGAACATGAACACAGATGTAATTTCTGAATGTACAAATTTCATATTTCTCAAAAGAAACTGTACCGTGAGGAGGGACGCCTTGAACATCGTTTGTCTGATCCCAGATGGAGGGCTAGCATGAACACAGCACACACTCGGTCTGTGTTTTCTGGGACCAGGTGATTGGCAGTGGGGTTAGACCTCGAGGACTGGAGTTGTTCCAGGGTATCCAATAGATGCTCTGTGGCATTTGGGTCGGTGCTGACCGAGCTGTTTTACGATGGAGCATATTATACTGCCTGGTGATGCTGTTGCTTTTTGTCATGAGCATATGCATATCAAAGTGACTTCTACTTGAATGCTGGCACCCTATGTTCCCAACAGAGCAGTTGTGTTGTCATAATTAAAGACAAAGTGTATTCATTTATTTTTGAAGCTCCCAAATGTCAAAGTTGGTAAAACAGTGGTGTTTTTGTGTTTGTGGTGTATTTTTATTCCTGTATCTGACCTCCTACAACAGCAACGTCAGCTGGGTAGATATACGTGCGCTGGTCTGGTCAGTAGCTCAGGGAGCTTGTCATGTTATCTGCCCACTCCTGGGCCTTTATCTCTGAGCTCACCGGTTACTGTGGGATCTGGATACGTGTGTGTGTGTGTGAGAGAAAGAGAGCGAGAGACTTGTGGTCTATCTTAGCACAACAGAGATAAGGGCGAGAGAGCTTCAGTGTAATGGGAGGAACAGATACGAGATGGTCAAGTTTAGACAGCCGATTCTGTGTCTCTTGCGTGGGTACGTTTTAGTTTGATGTCTGAGCGGTGACGCTAGCCAGCCATCAAAGGCAGCTTCCCTATCTCCCTCTTACTCACGTATGCACTAACATGACCTTCTCCATCCTCATGTGGGTCTACCCTTTTGATTTTGTACCTCATTACATGAGTTCTTCCCCTGTTGTCTACCAACCTCGATTAACCTGAAACACTGGGTTGTATGCTTGTGTTGTTGGCGCTTCACAGGCTGTACTTGCAGTCCATCCCTGCAGCCGTTCTTACCTCCAGTTTGTGTTTTTAGGGTTTGCGTGATGTGTTTGAGAACTACTACAGAAAGCAAAGGAGGAAACAGGCCCGTCTCGTACTGCAGCCCCACTCTAACATGGTATGACTCCGCACCCTCACTTTGTGTGTTATTCGATGCACTGTTATGTCCACACACTCCTAACTACACTGACTCCACCCTAGCCCTGCACACACACACACACACTCTCAAGCTGTTTGAACAGCCAAGGCCTCAGTCACACAGGCCTAGACTGGCTAGTGACCCCTGGCAACCACCGATGTATACCCCGACATGTTGGCCTGTGGTGGCTGGCTTTCTACTGGTCAAATACTACTCTACTGGTTAAACTGGTCACAAAAAAGGTATATGGTGCTGCAAAGGAAACCTTCTCATGATTGTTTTGGACACCTTAAAATTGGGCTTAAGGTAGAAAGCTCACAGAAACATGATAAACTGAGGACTGATGAGTTTGTTTAGTGTTGAGAACAAAAGGCAAATACTCGCCCAACGAAATGAAACTGCAGAAAGTGCAACACAAACCAGAAACTGAGAACATTCACCTTCAAAGTAAAGCTTTTGCCTTACTGCTATAACCGGAGTGTTTCAAGATTTGCAGCTTTTATTTTGAAGGCGAACATTAAATACACTGAAATTAAATGTAATTACCCTCCTGTTGCAGGACTCTATTATAAAGCCTGCACCCTTTATCCTGTAAACAAGCAGATAAACAGTGGTTGGACAAAATTGTCATGATGAAAAATACGACAACCTCACATAGAATTACAGTCAATGTCTCTGCCACTTGAAAATGATGAACAGATGTTGCTAATGCATAAAACAAAGATTTTAGATGCATATATTTGAGTAATCGGTTGATTTTCTCTGGTATAAGTTTGCTTCCTGTTATTCTGATATTTGTATATTTTCACATTATTAGTAACTGCCTGTTTCTCCCTCTGTTTGGCCTTTGTGTTGTTATTTATTTCTAGCATGAAACTCTGGAGGGATACCGGCGGTACTTCAATCAGATTGTTGGGTAAGTTCGTCCACCCGCTTTTATTTATTTCCTACTCCTTGAAGTTTTTCTAATTTCCTTCTTTAATTTCACCCTAATTGAAAGTGAACTTTTGCCAAAAGGTCAGAATGAAAACGTCTGTTTAGAAATAGTTGTAAACATTTTCAAAATGGCTCATAACAGATTTCCACCGACCGACCATCCGCCCGCTCATTGTGAGATTTCTGTGTACCTTGGCAGAGGCGGAGGAACGTTTGAGTGAAAGCAAACATTCAGCATTTAACAGCACCTCATTTCATTTCTTCTGAGTGACTTGTGACCATTTGACATCTTTTCATCTCCCTCCTCTCCTGCTGTTATTCCTGCCCCCCTTTTTTCCCCACTCACACCCCATCCTCCTCCTTTTCTTTACTGTCCTCTCATCCGTCACTCCGTCCCACTTCTATGTTGCGTCTACACACACGTCCGCTCGTTCTCCCTCACATGCACGCAGCAGTGAGGATTGATAGTGTGTGTGTGATGGCGGTTGGCGTGTTGCTGTTATTCCTTCTGTCTGTCTTGCTGGAGCAGACGCTTCTATAAACACTGGACATCAGCTCAGACTCATGCACTCACCCTCAGGTCTGTTATTCCCATCTGAAGTGCTGGAAAGTGCCATCCTTTGTCTGTTATCCACTAGTGCTTCTTCATCCATGTCTCCCACCCTAATATTCTTTCATCTGCGCTCTGTTGACATTAAACACTTCAAAATAACTCCAACTAAGGCTTCCTTTATTATCTGCATTTATTTTTTTATGTAATAGTTGTGCATGCCCACAAAACCAGAGTTATTATATATGTTTAATTAGTAACTGTGCGTGTTTATATGAGGAAACTTATGGGGCCTGAAACTGCCAAAATAACAAAAACAAAAAAGATTAAATGGATGCATTAAATGACATCAAAATGTATTTTTAAAAATCTTCATCATGCCATGTTTGTCTTCCAACTTACTAACTGAAGATTTCTCACAATATGAATGGCTGCCTCCAGGAGACACTCATTAGAGAGCAGAGGCGCTCGGCTCATCCATTTGAAAATGATACCGTTCACTGATGAGCCAATGAATAAGCAAACAGAGAAATGTATATTAATGTAATGAACTCAGTTATAAGTTAAAAAATGGGTCAACTAATAAAAACGTATGTACACTGTTCAAAAAAATGAATGCAACACCCGATCATCAGAGTGCAACAATAATAAAATTCAGCGATATCAGTGTGTCCTGTTAAGAAGTTTGAAGTATGGTGAGGTAATTTTTGCTTCTTTGGAGCAAATCAAAGTGACACCGTTGCTCTGGAGAAGTAACAACAGGACAATCCTCTAAAAAATGGATTGCAGGTGGTGGACAGTCACTGTCCTTATCTTCTTATCTTGGGTTTGGTATTAGTGTCCTTCTCCCTGCTGCTACCATGAGTTGCTACCAGGAGGGCATACAGGTTGCACATGCTTACATGCCAACAGGTTTGCTGTCTCTGCCAGCACAGTCTCAGGTGTGGAGGAGATACCAGTAGATGGGCAGTTACATGAGTAGAGCTTAAAAGGGCTTATACCAGCAGCTGCAGCATCATCTTCTCCTTCATGGAAGGAGGAACAGCTTTACAACTGTACAGCAGAATAACCTCCAGTGCTACTCACGTTCATGTGTCACCAAACTTTCATAATTGGACTCCATGATGGTCCTCAAGTCATTGAGTGGGATCTGTGCAGGTCACTGATGAACTTCAGACTTGGCAGGTTCTCTTCACAGATCCAAACAGGTTCACACTGAGCATGTGTGTTAGATGTGGAGACACCATAGCAAATGTTAAGCGACCTGCAACCTTATTCAGTATGAACAGTTTGGCCCTGGGTTAATGTTAGTCTGCAGAGAAAGATGCTTGGAGAAAGTTGTCCATAGGACAGGATAAAAAAATCTAATATGTAAGTTGGATTGACCTAATAATTGTGTGTCTAAATCAGATTAAATCACTTTCATGGATGTGGTACATTTAAAATCAGAATTTGTACCAAAGTGTTTTCTGGTTGATGCTTTTAAAGCATAAATCCAACATATATGTAAATCAAATGAAAAGCAAAGCTTCTCAAATGTGAAGCTGTTCTGTATCAACATATCAACAATTTTTTTAAGTTAGTTATTCTTTCTCAATGAGTTGGATTTGTAGGGAATGCTTTGTTCCTCTGTGGTACAAACAGGTAGAAGATGCTGCTTGGTCTTCCATAAAAAAGAGCACAAATCTTTTAGTTTCTTACATGAAGAAAAAGCTGGAAAAAGTAAAAATCTGTTGAAGAGTGAATCTCATCATATTTATTCCCTTCAGTAATAGCAAAGAGAAAAGTAACCATGCATAGCCGGGCCACTGATCCGACCGCAGTGCGGCTCATTGTGGCCTGGCAATGCTCGGTGGGCACTGGTTTGAGTTAGACGTGTTGTCAGTGGATGTAAACCAAAGTCACTTTGCAGGCGATTTGATCCGTTTCACACAGGCATCATTTCAAGACAGCAGCACAACGTGTGACTGACGGGTTTGTTGCTGTGCTCAGATATCAGCATCCTCGCACGCCTGGCTGGGCGAATGCGCCGTTTGCCTGGCTGTCATTTGCACTTGCAAATGATTTTAAATCAGAGCAACATGGCAGCTCTTCTGGAAAAGTTGTCAGAATTGACTCGAACCATCCCAAAGTAATCTCAGGGTGAAAATAAGCCACACAAGTGTTTGTCTTTTATTTGAGATTGGGGATATCTCTGAACAGTCCCTTCCTGTGCAGTCCAGAAACATGTTTTCATTTGCGTTCCTATTGCCTAATTATTTTTAATTCACTTTGCAGCTGATTTTAAGGATTGTTTTCCACAAAAACATCTTGTAGAAAAAAAAAGGATCATAAAGAGAAAGATGAACCAAAGAAAACCATTTGTCATAGAAAAGATCAGCAGCTTTATTTTTATGAAAACCAGATTTCACATTTCTCTGTTTGACATGATGGAAAATACAGTTATTGTCAAGAGCAGCAGATGGATTAATAAAGTGAAACCTAATCTAGATCCTGGTCTTTTAACTGCTTCGCTTATGTGAAAGTATTTCTAACCTTGGTCCGGAAAACATGACAGTACTGTTATATTTGCAAGAGGCAGTATTAGAATCAGTATCCCTTGATCCTCCAAGACTTTCTTACCAATGAGTCTGAGTACAGCTAACACACAGCTGGACTTGTTGCCATCTCCCACAAGTAGTTTTTTTTCTTGCTTTCTTCTTTATCTTTGTTGTCTTCTTGGCCTTTTTTTTTTCATCTGCTTAGTCTCCAGCTTCTTAACTCGTCCTTGTCTTGTTTCTTTTTTTTTTTCTTCGTTTTTTCATCTTTTTCCGTCGTCGTTGTCTTCGCCGTCTACAGGATAACCTGGAACACCGTGTGCTGCCGTATTCCATCCGAAGAGAATCGCTGTATACCTTATCAAAAGAAACTAGTACTAGAATTTCATTATGAGTTTTATGAGACGCAGCATCTTGACCAGGCTGAACATGTTTCATGTTTAGTCTTCTTTATAAAGACGTTGTTCTGAATAGTAACAAGTCAACTTCTTTTAACTGTCATATTTGATTTGCCGCAACAAAATCTGTAAGAAATGGCACGTAAACATTAGTGGGATCTCCCGCTAGCTGCTTCAGTGTTTTGCCAGTTGCACGTTTCCACTGGTTTTCAGGTCTAGTTGAACAGAAGGAAAGTAGCTCCTGCACAAAAGGGATTAGAACAACGGAAGGTTTTGTATCGCTGGCTTTGATTTGTGACATTGCTGCTAAGATTTTAGGTTGTTTTTTTTGTTGTTTTTTGTGGTGCGTAGGGGACTAAACAGAAAGCACAATTCAGTTCTGTAGCATTCAAGAGGAGGCAGACGTCTCTACAGCACATATATCAAAAACTGGGCAGCCAACTCCAGAGCAGTCTAAAGGATAAATGTCACTGCAGCTCAGTATTCTGCCAAATATGTGAATCTGATTTACGGGTGGACTGTCCCTTTAAATCTGTTTGTATATCCCTTCCAAAGTGCACCTAAGACAAATCCAATTTGAATCCAGGAAAGACTCCTACTCAAATATTTTTCAAGTTATATCTCATTTATTTAATTTGTACAAAATCTGAAGTGTAACAAGGACAATTTGCTGTTGCGCTGGAGGTTTCAGGCCAAGCTATTTCTTGGATAGTAATGGTAGAAACACTCTGGCACCTAACCTCCTGGTTTTTGTGCATATTGAACTGTAATATAACATGCAAATTAGTGCGCTTCAGTGAGCTAGGTGGATTTGGACATAGCCCGGCACTCAGTATTTATGCAAAGCTAAGCTAACCATGTCCTGGCTCCAGCAGGAGTGGTATTGTTCTCCTCCTCTTACTTTTGGCAGGAGCGTGATTAGGTATATTTACCAAACTGCCTAAGTAATTCCATCTGTCTCTCTGTTCTCCTCGCTTGCAGCTTCTTTGTTGTGGAGGATCACGTCCTGCACACCACACAGGGTTTGGTCAACAGAGCATACGTAGAGGAGCTCTGGGAGTTGGCGCTGTCCAAAATAGTCGCTGCCCTGAGGACGCACTCTGTGAGGCGAATCACACACACTCATTAAATACGAAATGCATGTTTCCACAAAAGTCTGAAATGACACAGACACACCCCTCCCTCCTGTTTCCTTAGTCATACTGTGACGACCCTGACCTGGTGCTGGATCTGAAGAACCTCATTGTCCTGTTTGCTGATACTCTGCAGGTATGTGTGTGATTAATTCCTAATATTTCACTTCGAAAGGAAGGAAATCCTCTCGTTCCCCTTTCGCATCACGCTATATGAAATGCTGTTGTGTTTTTGTACTTCTTGTTCAGTTATCTTGGCACATGTCTCCTAAGATATTTGACCCCAGAGGCCCGTGATTCTTGTTCAAAGCATGTTTTGTAGTTTTTGCAAAACAGACTGCTGCCAGTCTCTTAAAAAAAGAAAAGAAAGAGACTTTCTGTCTTAATTCGTCCGTTTTTAGAAATGGACCTTAATCATGTGCTGTCAGTTTGCGCTCCATCCATTTATTTTCTGGCTGTATTTATGAACTAGCCTGGATGGATTGAGTGTGATGTATGAGAGGATGAAGGGGAGATAGAGGGGATGTGGGTGAAAACCGGATGGGAGAAACATTCAGAGAAGAGCGAGGCACATTAAAGGCGGGGAATGATGAATGTGTGGTTCGATGTCCAAAAGTCATTCATGTACAGAGATGAAGTGCTGCTGAATGGCTAAATTTCTACTCATTGTTTATGTTTGAGGGCGTTTCTGTTTTATTTTATTATTATTTTTTGGAATTCTTCTGTATTTCTTCCAGCAGAGAGGAAACTATACCTTGGGTTTTCTTTATACCACACTCTCAGTCTTATGTTGAAGGCATGTTGTTTTCCAACCTCATTTTAATTGGTCCTTCCATCAGTCTTTATTTTGACATTTCAGACATTTGATGCAAAATATTGTTTTGAAAAATCAAATAATTATGTGTTTAATCTCATCCACCTGTATCAACTTAAAGTCCTCCTAGAGCGAAGTCTTGTCAGACAGCAGCCCTGTTAGCCAGCTATGTGCTGTCACAATCTTCCCAGGAACATGTCCCAGTAAAAACACCCCAAGGTCAGATCGCTCAATGCTCAGAGAAACTGCAAAAAACCCAAGAGCTGCAGCTTAGACTTTACGATCCTCAGTTAGCTCATAACAGCGCAGTTACAAAAAGACTAAACAAGTATGGCCTGCTTAGAAGGTTTGCCAGAACAAAGCCACTTCCCTCTGAAAAGAACGTGACAGCACAGCTTAAGTTTGCAAAGTTGCATCTTAGCAAACCACATGTGCCACATCTGGAGAAACCCAAACACAGCATATCAGCATAAACACCTCATACCGGCTGTCAAGCACAGTGGTGGAGGCATGAATATTTGGGCTCGTCTGTCTGCTCCAATCTCCGTGGAAATATCCTTGGACAAGATACTAACCCCAAAATTGCTCTCCGATGCATCCATCGGGGTATGAATGTGTGTGAATGTTAGATAGAAGCACTTATGTTAAAACAACATAGTGTGTAAATGGGTGTGAGTGGGTGAACGAGGCAAGTTGTGTTAACCATTTGAGTGCTCAGAGCAGAAAAGTGCCATATAAGAACCAGACCATTTACCATGGTTTCACATGCAGCTGCTCTTCTTTCCCTTCTGCAGGGTTATGGTTTCCCTGTGTCTCAGCTGTTTGACATGCTGCTGGAGATGAGGGAGCAGTACGGAGAAATCTTACTCAAGAGATGGAATGTCACCTTCAGGTAGCGAACGTTTTGTTTCCACGCTCTCCTGATAGCTGTTTTTCAGTAGCTGGGTTCTAAATACTCCAGTGTGTGCCGCACTGACCTTCACCTCTCTAACGATACGGTCATGAAGCTCGTACACACTCACATATTTGTGCAGCAGCGCATGTCTGTGGGAAACGTCCTGGTTTTGAAGTTTTACAACCAGCCAGAGGGAGGAAGTGTTTTAAAACAACGTCCGGAACATTCTCTGCCCTTCAATGGGTACTACCCCCTACAAAACTCTGAGTGTGAGAGTGCGTGTTTGTATTCGGGCTAAACGTGCCATTGTTTCAGCACCGCTTTTGTCCAATGACACCAGTGGGACTTGCAGCAGTGAGAACGGACAAACAAACACACACTCCCTCTCTCCTTCCTCCATCTTTCTCTTTCACACACACACACACATCGTGGAAGCCACAGGAATTTTGTGTTGTATTGTTGGGGAGAGGGAGAGAGCGCGCTCCGGTTCACGGCCTCTCCATGGAACGCTGGAACGTCCGAACTCTGGAGTGCCAAAAAGACGCGGGGGTGGTGAAAGAGGGCAGGGTGGTAAGAAAACCTCAAGAATTAAAACGACCCCCAATGGGATGATTGTTTATATGTATCCTCTGTGGGTGTGGGTGTGTGTTGACCTCTTTGGAGAAGATGGGAAGTTATTTACCTTTGATTTATTTGTTTCTTTGCCCTCTGCAGGCAGGTGATAGACCAGGACAACTACAGTCCAATCCCAGTCTCAACGGAGGAGGAGTACAGACAATACACTTCCCAGTGTCCCTTTCAAGACCCCGAACTGGAAAAGGTAGAGAACATAGACGATATAAAAGTGTGCAAAAAGAGAAAATAGACCCTGAAAAGTGCTGCATGTTGCTTCTTGCAGTCATGTCAGTTTAATTTCTTCCATGCAAAAGCTTCTTCCCTTTAGGAACTCTCAAGAAAAAACTACCTCTATGCTTGAACTTGCTCAAGTTAGCTTTTGTGCAGTATGTGAATTAAAGTTTGAGTAAAATCTCACTTAATCTCTTATTTTTCGCCCCATTTCCTCCAGCTTCCCTTCCCAAAGAAGCTTCCCTTCTCAGAGTTTGTGCCAAAAGTCTACTGCCAGCTAAAAGAGTTCATCTACGCTTGTCTGAAATACTCTGAGGACCTTCATCTCAGGTACATGCGCTGCATGCTTACACTCCTCTGCCACTGACAGTCCTGGTGTCAGAGTTTAGTGCTTTTGATTTTACAGATGCTTCTATAAGCAGCATGGAAACACTGATTAAGGACAGCCAGCTGAAGGTGAATAGATTTGTTCTGTTCACCTTGAATCTGATTTTTCTGTGGGCAGCAAGCAAACAGTGAAACGCATTCAGTGACAGTCGTGGTTTACAAGATTCAGAAAGGATTGTAGCTCCAGATATGAGTCACTTCAATAAATCTGTGTTGGTACACATTTAAATGTACATTACTGTGCAAAAGTCTTGCGCACGTCTCAATTGTATATATTTGAGAAGAGCTTGAAAGTCAATATTTAGTACGGCCACCTTTTATTCTTCAATAAAGCTTTCTTGTGATGTCTTTAAGTATTTCTCCAGACTACTTGAAGGATATTCAAAGTTCTTCTTTGGATGTCGGCTGACTTTTGGTCTGTTCTTTGTCAAGATGATCCCACATTGCTTCAATAATGTTGACCCAAGTTTGAATTCATCCCTCTGTAAGACCTGTTGCCACTAATGTTCTTGTGTAATTTGGCATAGTGCAGCCGTTTTCCCCTGTTTGGCACAAAACAAAGAAATGAGGTGTTGTTCAAGACTTTTGCGCACAGTATTGTCTAATAGATCTGATGCTATAATGAAGCTTCCCAAAAGGAAAGAAAATACAAATGAAATAGATAAATATGCAGGTGTCTGTGTTAAACCTCAGGCTCACAGCATTTTCATATCCACTAGTTACGCTCTGATCATCTCCCACATCATTCCAAATAGTTATACATTCCTGGTAGCACAAAAGAAGAATTTATTGTCTTACCAAATCATGTCTTTGTGATTCATTTAAATAGTTTACTCCCCACATCATTCACTCTGTAAGAGAAGCTCAAAAAATATATGGAAAAATAGACGGAAGCTGGTCAGTCGCTAAGGTCTGATTTGAGCTTGATTCAGACTTTAGACGAACAGAAACAGTAGAAACAATAGAAACAAACAGAATGCTAGGACTCCCCCCCCCTCCCTCTTTGCTGTGGTTTATTTCGTTCCCTGGGGGCAATCACATTTAGGGTTTCCACTTCTTTTTACATTCACTCACGTCCGTTCTGATCGTTTCAAAAATCTCCCCCCAGGAATTTTGTGAGTCCTTATATTGATGCTATGATTCTTATCCTCATGTTGAGGAGATGATTGTTATTCTCTGACTGAAAAATTCCAAAACTCTGGGGAAAAAGTAGTCGGGATTGTTGGGAGCTGCGTCGACCCAAGTTGTAGTTACATTTCTATGAAGGTGCAGCTTATAGCCCAGTGTTTCAGGGGAGATCGTGGTGACAGCGTAGCTACTGTGCAAATTTCCTGCTGAAGCATAAATGTCCAGAAACTCATCACTTCACCTACAAAATGTCGTCTCTCATCACCTCACAAAAATCATTTACCGTAAAAGATTTAGATGAGAGCTGATTGTATTAGCTGTCTTTAGTAATAACAAAATCTGCATTTGCAATGACTGCACACTGATGCGGACTCATCAGTCTCTACCATTTCGTTGGGTAACTATCTGTAGTCTGTGGTACTTATAAAAAATTGTTCAAAAGTCATTGAAATGGGCTTTTGTGTGAGCAATTATTCATATTCATATTTTTTTTTTATTCAGGCAAATATTTTCACCAGGTCAGGATCAATTGTTGCAGCTCAAACGATTCAGATTGACCACAAACTTCAACGCCTGCACACCTTCTCCCATTCATTCTCACTGACACACACACACACACTCAGCAGACAGCAGACGCCGCTTGGTTGATTGGTTCTTTCCATTCTGACCAGGGGTTTTTGTCTCATTAGATCTGGCTCGAGTGGGATACAGCAAGCGCACACACACACACACACACACACACACACACACACGTACACACACGCACACACAGATTGGAAAAGATAAGCAAAACAGCCACCCAGTGAGATTATGTGTAACTAAATAACTGTAACTTTCCAAACAGACCACAAATCAGCAGACTTTGTATGCTTAGGGTTTCA